GCCGTACTGAATCAAACCTTCATAGATCAATTAACTACAATTGCAAACCTGCACCAAAAAAACTTTCAGTAGAAGGCAGTACTCAAGGAAACAAAATCTGGGCACAGAAAAGACAGTTGTTTATTCATTTATTTCTTTATAGTTCTATAAGGAATCATATCCACTAGAGCAAAACAAAGTAGCATACTTGAAGAGAAATTGAAAATGCTACACATTTATAGCTTTGTTAACTTCCCAAATCGATTTTGTCAAAGCTGGCTTCAACTTCCGACGGGCGGGCGTAATATACACACAGTAAGTTACACTAGCCATATTTGTACTCGTACAAAGTTATTTTCTAATCACCTTCGCTGCTTTTTATGCAATGTTGCTGTCAGTGTTTCTTTCGACTGAATAGATCAAGATTTGCCTTTCCAAAGCATTTTTTTTCCTCCGGCACGTGCGTATGGTTCGCATTGTCTTTGGCATGTCTTCATTTAGATTTTCCTGAAGCTAGTTTTCGATAATGTTCCTCGTAAATAAAATAATTTAGCACTAACAACATTTGTCGACTTTGGGTGTACATTTCCGTCAAATCTCCAAAACTAACCATGTCCCTGTTTTTACACTTTTAAGCACTCAATAACTAACGGAAATCAACTAATCCTGATAGTAATAACCTCGATTAAATAACCTAATAAGCAACAAATAGATTCAAGTACAAATAATTACTTATAATATAAACTTTTGAACCTCTCTGCCGCTAGTTCTTTTTTTACGTGTTGGTATGCCAAGATGCGTCATTATAATAGACCGACAAGGTGTCATAAAAATGACCGCAATGAAGTTAACGGGACGGGATACACCCAATTCTTGTTTTGTTTACTGCACAGAATCCCATTGATAAGATATTGTGGAGCGTTCGCCAGCATGTACAGAATTCAACTAGCAATCTAGAAAATACTGCTTTATTCGGCAAAAAGATTATCGCGATTATTCTGGATTCTACACGAATAGATTACGGATCGGATATATAAAGGCCGGTATCAGTTAGAAGTTTTAAGTTTAAGATTGACTGTGATATGATTTAGATAGTGAATTTTAAACAGTTAAGTTGTTTGAGTTAATTAGTGAAGTAATATCAGAGTGTGTAGTAACGTGGAATAAATTGTACCAAAACCATATTTTAAGTTTTGAGAATGTTTAGTAAGCTGGAAACCTATAAAAAAATCACACTTTTGTCCCAAGAACTTTAAGCCGGTCGTCTTTTGGATGCGTTTTCGTCCGAACTGCATTTGTCAGAAAACGGACGAATAATTTCGTCAGATTTCGCACACGTAATATCGTCCACTGGACAAGTTTTTTCATTTCGAAGTCAGTCTTTACGTAGTGAAGTGATATGGAGGATTGTCTTTTGGAAAATAATTTTCTTGTTGGACGGCGATTGTTAAAAAAAAAGTGCTGGGTTAGGTAATGATATTTTAGCAAAACGAAAACAATTCGGAGAATTTTCAGGTCAATTCAACTGCCACAATTTTCTCTGCATGCTCATGTAATCAATGTGACATGATTTGTCGGTCATCAATTTTTTGATAACCATTATCCTCTCAGCAACACAGACAACAGACAACACACACAAATCATCAGAACTACTGCGAAAAATCCCATTTTGCTTGGATCAATTGCAATCGCATGTTTTCTGCCGAATTCGCACGAATAATTTCGGGTATAATGTATGACCGTCATTAGGTTTCACTGAAATGGGATCATTCGCACTTTTTCGTCCGATTTCTGACGATTGCAATTCGGACGAAAACGCATCTGCACAATGCGTCGCCAAAACTAACCCAAACTAACCCAATTTGGCTTACTTTAACTTTAACTGCCCCCCCCCCTTTCAAAAGGCTTGTATCCGCCCCTGATCGGGACGATCAGTCTTAAGAGTAGGGCAATGTGGCGCGTTCGCCAGCATATACAGAATTTAACTCGCAATCTAGAGAATACTGCTTCATTCGGGCAAAGAGATTATCGCGTTTATTCCAGATTCTACAAAAATAGATTACGGATATACAGGGTTAGTAAAAGTACTGCAACACTTTAATATCTCCAAAACTGCTTAAGCCGCGTTCACACAATTCGGAATCTGACAGTTTTTAGGCATGCGGAATTCAACAGTGCTATTGACAATGTTGCCAGATTTCCCAGTTTTGCGCTACACGTAGTCTTTTTGTTATTTTAAATAGAATGCCCCATTTATTTTTATTGCAATGAATTGGGCGTGCCAGATTTGATAAGACTACAACTTTTCAGAATTCTATCTCTACTAGTTGTTGAAATATATATGACAACACCGTATTTTCGGTGAAAAGTATCGCAGCGCTTGAATATCTTTAAACGCCGCTTAAGCACGTTCACGAAATTTGGTATCTGGGGGTTTTTGGGCAAGCGAAATTCAACCGTGATATCGGCATTGTTGCCAGATTTCCCAATTTCGCGCTATATTTTTTTTTATTAAATACACGTTACTTATTCATAAGGTATTCATATTTTCGAGCGTTTCCGATAAGTTTGCGGCTCCTCCTGAAATAGGTAGGAAGGTAGGTAACTATCCCAGAATGATTCTCACTATAGTAGTATCTAACAGTAGAAGAAGCATACTTATTGAAAATTTGGAATTTCACTAAAATTTGGACCAATTCATTGCAATAAAAATAAATGGAACATTTTATTTAAGATAAGAAAAAGACTGCGTGTAGCGCGAAACTGGGAAACTTGGCAACAATGCCGATATCACAGCTGAATTTCGCTTACCCATTAATTCCCAGATACCGAATTTAGTGGACGAGCTTGAGCAAGTTTTAAAGATATTCGAACGGCGCGATACCGTTCACTGAAAATGCGGTGTTGGCATATTTCAGCTACTAGTAGAGATAGAATTCTGAAAATTTTGAACCTTATTAAATTTAGCACGTCCAATTTATTACAACTAGGTCATGAGCGCGCTTCGCGCGCTTTTTTTCCTAAATTAAGTCTGTCAAAATGAAAACAATTATAAAGTGGAAAATATTTATTAAGTGTTGTACGAAAAACAACATAATTTTTGATTTAAATGTACATTATACATTATAATGTAATAGTGAGATAGGTTGTATAGATGTCATTTTAGTGAAGAAATTTCAAATGCGATGCAATTATTTTTATATGGTATGTCGTAATGATTTTAAATCGATCACATTTCTTGAATTGAATGTGTGTGTATGTCCAGTGCATCTTATTCTATGTTATGGAACTCGTAGGTATCCGTTTTTCGCAGTGGTTTGATTGAAACAGAATAATCATTAATCATAACCGTAATAAAGGTGTTAATATAAAACCGAATTATAAACTATTTATATGCGGTGGTATAATACGAGATATCGAGTCTTAAAAACTTTTTGCATTTTCATGGAGTTCCTTTTTTTGATTAAGTCAGTTATTGAAGTCTACTCGATCAACTTCTTACTGCGAAAAACCGAAAAAAAAAAAATTATTAAAAATATTTTAAATTCAATTATTAAATTATTCAACTTACATTTTTTGTTTGTACGTGGTAGACATAAATTTCAAATGCGATGAAAGAAGTTGAGTAGTGAGTAGAATAATTACTTTTGTGGTACCTCGTAATCACTTTAAATCGATCACATTTTTTGAATATACAGTCGGTGTACATATATGTCCAGTGCATCTTATTCTGTTTTATGGAACTCGTAAGTATTTAAGGTTCAAAGAGTGCTAATTCTTTTCTACACTGTTGTACAACACCTGAAAGTAATAGACAGAAATAAAATAAATACAATTAAAATATTGCAGTCCCTACCAATTTTTGTGGCTGTTCATGTGGCTGTTATTAAATAAATCTGCAACTAAGCTAGTTTCTCATATACACTTTCATCTTTATCTTTTCTTTTCTTTTTCGGTTTTCTTATAAATCTGTAAATAGGTTGTTCTCCGTTATATTCAATCATTTATGTTTATCGTGTTTAATTTGTAACTTGTGATTTTCAAATATCTTGTGAATCTCTGCTGAAATCACCTGCAAATTTTCAAAACTAAATTATTAAAAAAACAATTCTTTAAAAACATGGTTTTTGACAACACTATTGCTTCTTTGTTTCCCTAAATAAACTTTCAATGAGTCCCACGAACGAACTCTGGAAAGCGCCACATAAAGTTGTCCGTGACTAAATACATCCTTTCTGAGATCAATTCCTATCCTATCAAATGTTTGTCCTTGAGATTTATTAATCGTCATTGCAAAGGCCAATTTTATCGGAAATTGTCTCCGTTTGAATGTAAAAGGGTAGACGTTTTCGCAGTAGAGTGTTATTCGATTTATGAACACTATTTCTCCTTGTTTATCTCCAGTCAATATTTCACAGCGTAACAGATTATCCCCAAGTTCCAGAACTAATAACCTTGTACCATTGCAAAGACCTTCACTGATGCTTAAATTTCTAATGAGCATAACAATAGAATTCGTTCTCAATCGTAATTCATGGGGCGGGAAGTTCGGCGGGTTAAGCGAATTTAAATATTCTGGAAGAATAGCATCATTCAGATCACCATTATCACAGTTCTCGACACTATCTACACTGGTGTAGAGTTTTTCGGTCTTGACGTCCAACAATTCGACAACTTGTTTGTTTATTTCTTCGACGTCAACATTTCTTGCAGAAAGTATTGCAGATTTGGTCAAGTCCCTGAATCTTCCTTCTCTTAGTACTTCTCCATAGATGTTTTCAATAATGGCAATTTTAGATTGTCATTGGAATCATTTAGTGTTCCATTTCCGACGTCCAATAAAAATTTGGAAAATTCAAGTTCTTCTGCTAGAGCTCGCATATTTTGTGTCAAAGAAAATTTACGGAAATAATTCCAAAGCGAACTGAATTTGATACTAAGACTGACTATTTCACTGCGTGTACCATGAACCTTTACTGGCAACAGCTGTCGAAAGTCCCCACCCAAAATCATTATTTTACCTCCAAAAGGCAACCTATTGTTCGTTAAATCGCGTAATGTTCTCTCGATAACTTCTAATGCATCCTTTGGTGCCATTGGTGCTTCGTCCCAAATGAAAACGTCGACACTTTTAAGATAGTTTGCCTCTTTCGTATTGTTTTTAATGCTCGAATTGGAGTCCGAAAATAGAGGAACTGGTAATCCGAACGTTTTATGCACTGTTCTTCCATGTGGAAGCAATGTGGCTGCGATACCGGTGAACGCCATCGTACAAACATTTTTATTTCTCGTCTTCAGCATACCATAAAGGGTAGTGTATAGATATGTTTTACCGGATCCACCAGGACCGTCAATATAGATGCAAGAGGTCTCTTCATTGTTCTCATCTGTTTGGTTGTCAGCTTTTTCTAAAATGAAATCTACAATTTCCTTTTGTTTTGCATTTAAAGAATCGTATTGATTTAGCAATGTATCAAATGCTTCTTCTTCATTCAAAATTTCCATGTCGTTACTGACATTATCCAAATCAGTTATTTGTGGCATAGTAGGAAACATTGAAATACTCCAGCCTTCTAGATTCAACATCGAATCAAGTTGAACGTAGGCCTTTTTCATATCTTGACTGCCGTTATATTTTCTTCGATAGTCTTCTGACAATGCATCTTTAAATTCTTCCCAAAGTTCTTCAGGATGTATTGGTTGACAATGTATTAAAATACGAACAAAAAGATATCGAAGTTGTCTTGGCATCATCCAAATTTCAGCTTCATTCATTGCCCTTTTCCATTCGTGGTCATCTTCAATAAGCCCTAATTCCAAACATGCAGCCATAAATGATTCCTGTCTTACTCCATTAACAGTTTTTATATCCTCAAAACTCAGTGGTCCTTTAACATGAAGTAATAAAATTCTAAGATGGAAAAGCTCAGTTTGAGTTGGACTAACAGAGTACATACGACCAATCACATTAAATTGTCTTTGACGATGGATCCATTGATATTTGCCATCTACTTTTTTAAACACATAGTATGTCGGTATTGTGCTGTAACTATACTGACGGGCTTCTGGGTTTCGAGAATTTAAGGCAAAATAGTCAATTAACATTGTTTGCCGTTCTAAAGCACTTCTGATTTCATTGTCATCGCAATCATCAGCAATAAACACATTTTGTTGGTTTGGCAAATGAACTGGCAGTCTTGTAATCGAATGACTTTTGTCTTGCAAAGGCTTTTCTAAAATTCTCCATGCAGCTTCAACTGGTCCGACATATCTTGTTTCAATAAAATTTCGGATTTCATCGTGTTCGATGGTTGTGCTGTTTGATTCAGAAATAATTATATTTGCTGCATCATGACCTTTATAAACATATTTGTACAAATACTTAACTGACTTAATACTGGAAACGACCTCTACGTTTATATGACCATTAAATAACTTTAACAGTGTGGGGTTATGTGGTACGACATACCGATTATCGCAAACGTATCCATCAGAAGACCTTTTAAATGACATACCAGGATTTCTGCGACGGTAATAAGGATACCCATTTTCATCCATTGTAGTTTCTTCTCGAAATTGTTTTGGGTAATTTTTAGAACAGGTCTTCTCTTCTGTTAAACACCAGTCACCACATGGTCCATGAACCATATTTCCCAACACAATGTTATGCAATATTGGTTCTTCCTGAAAATCTGGAATTTCTGCTGATATGTATCGATCGACAATTTCAGGGGTTGTTATTTTTTGTGACTGCTTTAGAGTAACTAACATATGTACATGAGGTAAGCCTCGTTTTTGGAATTCAATGACGTAAACATATGCTTGTACTTCACCAAAGAAATTTTGATTTACAACCAAATCAACTAATGCATTTTTTTTTATGTTGAAGACTCTGGCCACCAAATCTGGTCTATCAGATGCATGTTGTCCAGGTAACAAGTTTTCGCTGATTTCTCGCCATTTTGGATTGCAGGTCATAGTTATAAAAAGGTCTGGTTTACCATGTTTCCTTACTATTGTCATTGCGTCTTGATAATTTTGTAGCATATTTCGAGGAGATCCTTGGAATGTTGATGGTAAAACTACCATTTTGCCCACATTTCCATTTTGGTCTTCTGCCCGTTTTTGTAAGTGGTCAACCAAACCTTGATATGATTCTGCTCTGAGTTTTTTTTGGTTTTCCTTACAAAAATTAATGCGATCTTTTTCAATTTTTACGTAACTGTCAACTAACCACTGCTGAAATAACCTGCGCCCTTTTAAAAATACGCTGATCTCATCACGGACTGCAATTCTATATTTGGTATAAGCCGCCCGTGTAACTCTTCGAGATTTATTTACGCACTTTATGTCTTGATGCCAGCCTCGTGTACCGAATGGATAAAATAATGGATATATCCATGGTTCTACATTGGGATCCATGCTACTTACATACTGCAATGATTTATCGTTTTTGTTTCTTATCGTAACATAGGACTCTGAAATGTCGCCATCAGCTGTTGTAGAAAAAACTGCAGCCACTTCATTGACCCTTTGAAAATTGTAGCGATTTTTATCCACACCTGGTTTTAATGTGAATAAAAGTTGTAATTCAGGATCATAATCTGCATGCATGGATTTTTGATTTTCTATTTCTTCATTCATCATTTGATAGGAATGAACAAATACATTGTTTTCCCGCATTATATCATCAATCAACTCCATGAGCTCCATGTCGCATTCTGAATTGTTCTTTTGTCGAAATTCTGCTGCTTCATGTGCATCAATGATAAAAAGTTGTCCATAACAGGGATTTTCGCTAGAGGACGGATATAGTGCTGTATTAATTTGGTAGTATATTTGCCCGTGTATCTTAAAGCAATATGGTCCTGGTCGAGAACTAAACTTAACTAAATTAGCATTAAAAGATGCAAAAGAAAATGAACTATTGTAACTTCGGATATGTTCAAAAAAAAATCGTGATTTTGGATGGGAGCCGCAAAACAATGACTGTAAATTTGCAGGAAGAGTGGGTAGAGGTTCCAACCGTATTTGACCATGTCCACAACAATCATTAAAAGAATTGCCTCTATTCGCAACTTTTTCAGAAGCAAAATGTCTTGCACCACAATGTATACAAGAAATATTCATTACACCAATATAATGCTCACTTGTTGAATTTTCGAGTCGGAGTAGAGCTAAATCAATAAAATTATGTTGCCTTGAGCGATAATTTCTTTGATGTTGTGTCTGTGTAATTTTTTCATTTTTTTGTTCCGCATTAGAATTACCGCTCATTTTTTCAATTTGGGCGGCTCTTTCGCGACTTCGACGTTGATTTTCATTATTTCTTTCGCGTCTGAGTCTCATAACCTCCTCCTCTTCTTCAGGAGTACGGGTAATTTTTCTTCGGTTCATAATTGATGGTAATAAATTAAATGTAAAAGAAATCTATGATAATAATTTAGACAAAGTTTTGATTTCAAATATGAGTTTTATCTAAAATCTTTCTTCTTATTTGGGTCTATGCAGGTCTACTTTTTATCTAATTCTATTCTCTTATTTTGGGTCTTTTTTCTGGATTTAAATCTGGATTTTCTAATCTTAAGTCTGTGTTTATACTCTATATAGTGTAACAGTAATGTTTAACAATAGAAAAAGTCTCACCTTATCTACAGCTTCAATAGTCACTGCACAGCACAAATACTTAGGTAGGTAATAGGTAATTATTTATTGGCCGATGTTTTTGTCATACTATTAGAAAAACACGTATGTTAACCAATTTCGTTTTCATTCAATAGGAGCACTTATGGGGCACTTCTAACGAAAAAAACACGTAAAAATAAAAAAAAAACTGTCAAATATACAAAAGACTACACTGGAGAGTAATAAGTTATAATCTCTAATAAAATTGACAATTGACATGCAATTCAGTGGCGTATCATTAGTTGTATTCCTTTCAAGATTTGCAGGGAACAGATGCGTGGTGCAACAAACAATTTTCGAAAAGAATAAGGGTGGGTATTATAAAACTGCTTTGACAGTTAACTTGAAGTTAATTTTTTGAATTACATGTTAGAAGTTAACTCTCAAAGTAGTTTTATAATACTCGCCCTAAGCGCGTGAAGCCTCGGAGCTGTTCCAGAGCTCCTCATAAGTGTGAAAGGAATACAACTATTAGGGGGAGTTCAGAAATAACACACCGGGTGTGAGTGCGATTTTATGGGTGTGACTGAAATGACAATTCTTAGGCGATAATTTTCATATGAATTTCTGAAGACTTGGTGTGATCAATCGAGCATCTCCTCAAAAATTTCACCAAATGTATCAAGATTATATTTTTTTATTGTTCATTTTTTTAATTGAAAAAAAACTTTAATTTCTATTTGTGTTTTATTTATATTTGGTGGAAATAATGACATTATGGGAGGAATGGTTGATATTAGCCGCTTTCCAGCTGTGTGCTTCAAGCACGGTGCAGCACAGTGTTCTGTGTTTGAAACGCAAAAGTTAGCAGCTCTCGAACCGCAGTATGGCTGGAACACGAACACGCGCTTGAAGCATTTGCGCACACAAAAGCTCGATTGTGTGCTCAAAAGCGTCAGCTGGAAAGCGGCTATTATTGTTGACATAAAGACATAACTACACCAAAGCCACACTAAAAAATTGTGGTGTGGCCATTACGACACCTGGAGCGCGCCCGAAGTACTTTCTGAACGGATCATAGAACGCGCACTCGGTGTGCCTATACCAATTATGAACAGCTAATGCGTTGCACTGATGTCAAACTCACACTAAGGGCGGGTATCATAAAACTGCTTCGATAGTTAACTTGTAGTTAACTTTTTGAATTACGTGTAATTTCACAAGTTAACTTTAAGTTAACTCTCAAAGTAGTTTTATAATACCCGCCCTAAGTATGTCATTCCTGAACTCGTCGTAGTTGTATTCCTTTCACACCTAGGAGGAGCTCCGGAACAACTCCGGGACGTTACACGCTTATTCCTTTCGGAAAGTGTTTGTTGCACCACGCACGCATCTGTTCCCAGTTCAGAAATAACGCACAGGGTGCGAGTGCGATTTTATGGTTGTGCCTGAATTGACAATTGGCATTGGGCCCATAGCACCGTTTAGCATTTTTGAACAGCTAGGGCGTCGCACCGGTGTCACACTCACACTGGGTGTGTCATTCCTGAACTCGCCCCTTGTGTGCACTCGGTGTGACGCTCAGGGTGATTTCGAGCGCACTCTAGAGATGTCGTAGCTGGGTTCGGTAATTGCATCTGCGAGTAAAAAAAGCAGATTTTGACGGTCGTCACGTGATGATTTATCTTGCTCCACTTGTCAAATCACGTGACATCTGTCAAATTTTGCTCATTTTGCTCGCAGATGCAATTACCGAATCCAGCCCTTATCCAGCGCATACACAAACCCTGCCTTCAGTATTTTGATCTGAGTTCTCCGAGCTTGAATTTAACGTTCGTTTATTCAAAAAGTGTACTCGGTGCAGGCTCGTCCGCGTTCTCTTTTTTTTTTCAATTAAAATCTCTGGCACTCTGATACATCGTTCAACTGCTCTGTTCGTTCGCTGATCACGTTATTACGGCTCCACTCAGTACGCTCCGCTCTTAGAGCAAAATACCGAACGCAAGGAAATTAACAGATGTGGCATTCAGAATATAAAATTTAGGGTGGGTATTATAAAACTACTTTGAGAGTTAACTTAAAGGTAACTTCTGGAATTACATATATAATCAAAGCCCCCTACAGTAATAAGCCATGAAGTAAGAAATCTGGCAACATGTCATGTGGGTCCTATGTTTTCGATTCAGGTTAGGTTTTGAATGTGTTTATTATATTTATTTTATTTATTTGTTATTATTATAGCGCATATGATTCATCTGTAATAGTTCAAAAGAGCAATAATTGTGCCCTGTGCACTTTTTTATCAAAATTTTAACCGCTACCTTAATCATCTTTTGGTTTGTTTACTCAAATTGTTCCCACAGGACGCCGACGAACACTTTGTTTTTGTCTTTAGTAAAGGTAAGAAATTCATCATTTTTATATCAAAATATTACATTATGCAATTTTTTTATTTATTATAGATGCCCGATTATGCTGTGTTCGAGGTTACAAGTGAATTTTGCAAATTATGGTTACCAGCCATTCATAAAGAAAACTTCCAAATTACAAAGAGTTCAGTTGTGTGCTGTGAATATTTTGATACTACAGAAATGCAAAGGGTGGCATTACAAAAACAAGGAAGGAATTTGGTGTGAGCACCCTCTGATGCAACCTAAACTAATGAAGGGGGCAATTCCCAATTCCTCATATTATATTTGAAAATCAACCAGAATACCTATCTATCAAGACATTCAGTGACTAAACGAAAAGATCCCCAGAAGACAGAAGACAGGAACTACAGGAAATTTTGAAACAGGAAAATTGCAGAACTATTCAATTCAATTACCAATTTTGAAAATCTAGGCAAGGAAAATATTGAGTCCAAACTCCAAAATGTCTCTTAAATGAGTAGTTATAAGTATGTGTTGGTGTTTTATTTATCCAGTTCATTCTTTTTCCCAAACAAATCTCGAAACAAATACAATAATATCATATTTTTGAAAAAATATAGAATCAAATCATTCATCTAACCTAAAAAATCTGCTTTCAAAGGCAGACCAGCAGAGCCACTATGCGGTGTTGCCATTTTTACTTCATGGCTTATTACTGTAGGGGGCTTTGATATAATTCAAAAAGTTAACTTCAAGTTAACTGTCAAAGCAGTTTTATAATACCCGCCCTTAGTAGTATAGGGATTAACAAATCACTGGAAGTTAAAATTAAAAATTCATTACATAATGACTAATCAAAATTTTAATTGAAGATTGAGTTTTTCGAATTAAGATTCAATAAATTGAATTAAATGGGGACAGTTCAAAAACTACAGAATTGAATTCTATACCAATTTCAAATTCTTCGATTTCATCTGGATTTGAAACGCAAGATATTTTTTAATTATCATAATTCGATATTTTTAATTTGGTTCTTCGAATTTATGTAAAATTTGAATACGGAAATGATACCTATATTCGAAAGTGACCACTTTTCTCATACATAATAATGTTTGATTTATGTAGTTATCTTTTTGAGAAAAAAAATTGATTCCCAAATTTCCAGTTTCAATGTAACGTGCCTAAATTAATGTAAAATTACCTTATCAAAATTAATCCAAAATTCGTTCCTCTTGAAAATTCTACAGATACCTATTAATATTTGAAAGGCATTTTTAAGTAACATCATTCTCATTGATACCTATATAGGTATATTTATTGATGTTAGATTTTGATGAATATATTGGTAAACAAATTGACAAAATTATATTTTACAATTAACCATTAGCGTTTTCGAGTATATCGGCTTTTTATTTAGATGAGTAATAAAAGGGGACTACAGAAAATCGTTTATTATTGAGACATAAAAAAATGCAATAACAAAAGTCGAAAAATACATGAATTGCAAAAAAAAATTCCTACCCAAATGAATTTTTCAGGAATGATAGGGGACAGATGGGTGATCATAAAACCGAAGATATCAAACATTCACCCTTCTGCCGTTTTGCGCTATAGGGGGTTGAAAGTGCGCCATTGGCAATTTATTCGTACCTGATTTTACGAAAAAGTGTTTCAGCTAAAAGATGTGCAACATTATTTGATCTACAATGTTTATCTAAAGACTTTTTCTATTAAGGGCCGTCTGTGGTCGTAAGGCCCTTTGAAGTTTTATAATGAAAATAAAAATTTTTACTCAACTTGAAATTTTTTTCTACAACACATACAACGTTTTTGCTTTATGAAGTTTTTCCTCACCCCCTGCCGTTTTTCAATAAGGGTAGTTTCAAAATTTTATATTTTTTTACAAAAAAAATTTCTTGATAAAAGTTTCATAATATTTCCTACAATTTTTTCTTATACCTAAACTTTTTTTGTGGCTCACCCTCATTCAGCGGGGGAATACTTCCCTTAGGGAAATTTTAGTTTTTAGGGGTATACAGGGTGTATATTTTAAGTGATACCACTATTACTATATTCGAAACGGTAAGAGCTACAAGGTCGGTTAAATTAGAGAAAAGTTGCCTTTTTTGATGCCCATTCAAAACGTTTTTACAGTGTTGTCAAATTCCTTTTAGTTTATGAAATACAGGGTGATTTCTAAAAAACGCCAAAAACTATTTCATCAACTATTTCGAAAACTATTGATATTCGAGACACAATTTAAATTTGAAAGTTTTATAATTTTTTTCGCATATAAAAAGTTGCAATTATTATTATTTAGAAAGTTTTTTTTTCCACCACCTTATTATTTTTAGGGGTAGTTCACCTATTTTCAACTTTACAAAAGAAATTTATTAAGAA